ACTGCCATTTGGAACAGCATGGATGGACCTTGAGAACATTATAGTAAGTGAAATAAGTCAGCCAGAAAAAGCTAAGAACCATATGATTTCACTCATATGTGGGATATAAAACTAAAACTCATGAACACAAACAGCAGTGTGGTGGTTGCCAGAGGGAAGGGGTGGGGGATGAGGGGGCCCTAAAATATCGGGGCAGGAGAAGATTTGACTTTATTGCACATGGTGCAATATACAGATCTTGTAACATAGAAATCCACACCTGAAGCCTGTATGTTCATGTTAACCAATGTCATCCCAATAAATTTAATTTTTTAAAAAATTAAAAATAAATCAGATTATAGGATATTTGGGGATTAATGCTCAATACTGTAATTATGGATAAACACATACCACTTGAATAGAAATATTGTTCACTGTTCATTTAACAAATAATTTGGAACCTACTATGAGGCAAAGCGAACATGATAATCTCTGCTCTAAAGGAACCCCAATCTAATGGGAGACTGATAAACTGGTAACTAAAACACAATGTGATAAATATTATGATGGAATTAGCAAAGGTTGTTATTGTTGCAAGATAAGGGGAGAGAGAGAGGGGGCACCACGTGGGCTTTGGCCTTTGAAACTGATGCTATGTAACAAAACAACCAATGAGGAAAGCACAGGGGTCCTAAATTAATGACAAGTCCAATTAGAAAGGGTCAGGTTCAAACAAAGAGCTGCAGCATATATAAACTGGAGACAAAGGAGCACAAGACAGACTTCTTTTCCCATTAGAAAGAGAGAGAACAGCTTTTTCCTATTTGAGGGCCCCTTCCCAGGCATCCCCTTTGGGGACACCCCTGCCCAGATGGAGTTTGTATATGCTTCCAATAAACTACATTCTTATTAAGGAAAACTTTTACAAATTTATTTTTTATCTTTGTTGGACAAGAGCCCATAAGAAGAAGTCTGCACCCCAAACCCCACATTTCATTATAGTACAGACTCATCTCATTGGGAGGAAAGGCTGTCAAGATGCAGAGAGCTAGCTAGCTCAGCTGCTTGGAAAACTGAATTTAAAAGTGAACTTAGCTTCAACTTTGACCTAAGAAAACGATCTAGGTATGTATATATCACTGACAGAATTCAGATTTACTCATTAAAAACTTGATTTAAAAAAAAAGTATAACAGATTTGTACACACTGACCATGAATAGAAGTATTGGGTTAAATAAATAAATTATAGGATGACATGTATAGGATGACAATATATATTTGTGCATAAAGTAGTCTGTGGAAAGGGGAGAAATGGGAAATTTTCACTTTTATTAACACTTCTGATTTGTACAATTGTGGGGGAAATGCATATAAAACTTTTAACTTTCAAAGCACTTGTTTTTTACTTTACGCACTCCCCACTAAAACAAGTATAAACCTATTACTTTATTGGTGTTAACGCTTCTTTTGTATCCCTTTTCCTACTATCTCCTACCTCCAAATCTTCTTTTGTTCCCAACCTTTAAGTGCAGAAACTGAAAAATAAAAAGCTTCAGTTGCTGCGGCCCTCTTCCTTGGTACACTTGAGTAAATTCCTATGTGTTCTTTCAGGATAAACGGTCTTCCTCTCCACACTTGCCCAGCTAATAAAACCATAAGAAAGGCAAACACAGACTTCACTACAACAGCCCCATCAGGATTAATTAGTAACCACAAGGCAAGCTGGGAAACCAACGCAAATTTAAAATCCCATCTTCACGTTCATGACAGCTCATTACAGTGTTCTCTCTTATCACAACACCTTGGAAATACGCTACGTGTTTAGCACAACAGAGGACCAATTTAAAAAGTACAATACATTCTCCGACAACAAATTTTAGAGTCATTGAAAATGTTTTATATCACTGACATGCTACTGATACTTACATAATCCCAGATTTGTGTGAAAAGATTTTCTATGTGTATGAACACATATTTTATGCATGGATGCATGAAAGCATGGGAAAGGGCATATACCAAAATGTGAACAGCGGTAACTTGGGTGACTTAATTGAACTTCTCTCTTTTATCTGTCTTGTTTTTTGGTCCACAGTGATCACATATTACTTGTATCATTAAGAACCAATAGCAAAGAGAACAGAAGTTTCAGTCTCCAAAAGAAAAATAGAATGACTATGCCATAGGGGACCTATGGGTTGTGATATAGAAAGTAGTAAGTGCCTGAAAGAAACCAATTTACATGCCCAACTGCCATCAACCCACCAGGCCGCTCTGGCACGTCCCCTCACTTCATTCCTCATTTACTATTTACGGAGGTCCTTCAGGTAACGACTGTGCAGGACCATGGCAATGAAGAGGACCAGAGGGCCCCTGGCCTCCAAGAGTTCACAATCCAGTGGGGAGACAGACTAAACATATTTACACAAATAATTATCAGTTACTCTTGTGACAGGGAAAAAAGGGAAGCCTGATTGAGTATTTTCCTTGTGTGCACCCCCCACCCACGCCCACGGGCCACATCTATAAAATGAGAAGGTTGTACTCGAGGCGGAGTTTCCTTCCATGAGACAGTCTTTTGGGGTAAGGCCTTTGGGAAGAAAACCAAAGCTGTTATCTGTCCTATAGCAAACTGTGGAGCAAGCATAAGGGTCAGCTAAAAGGAGATGAGCAAGCCCCTGGCTGGTTTGGTTCAGTGTATAGAGTGTCAGGCTGCGGACTGAAGGGTTCCGGGTTCCATTCCGGTCAAGGGCGCATGTCCCAGTGGGGGACATGTAGGAGGCAGCCAATGAATAAATCTCTCATCATTGATGTTGATGTTCTGTCTCCCTCTCCCTTCCTCTCTGAAGTCAATGGAGATGTATTTTTCTAAAAAAATAACAACAACAACAATAATAAAAGGGGATGAGCAAAAGCGTGGGCTGAGGGCCAGAAAAACATTAGTGATGCTCTATTTCTTAAAATAAAATTGGTCTCAAGTTGGGAGGAAAGTTACCCTACAATGGAATAAAAGTATGCATTTGAAAAAGAAAACACCCAAGGTGCAATATTAAGTAGTTCTAGTTAACAAGTAGCCTGATTTTATTGCTGTTACATTAAGTTCATCCTATACACCAGGAATCCCCCAGTCCCAGCCCAGTCACTTTGTCAACAAGAACAAACCAATACTCTGAGCAAGCTTCCTATAGCAACTGTCTGAATCGTAAAAGCACTGAATCACCTGCACCACATTGCTCCCAAAATGTTCGTCCGCTTTCATTACTTTCTGGAAATGAATAAATGCTGACAATAAAGTGTAGACAGAGGTGCAGTTTTCAAGAATACACCATAATATGCTTTTCTGTAACTCCAGAGGTAAAATAATCACGGTCTTCAATCTAATTCAAATTCACAGTGACTGGCTCTTTTACAATGTCTTTACAAAAAGGATAAGGTGAGAAAGCCCTTTTACAGCAGGGCTACACGTTTCCCAGGGAGATAAACACCTCCCATGGAAGGCTACCCTGGCAGCCTCCAACTGCGGGGGGTCGGTTAGCATCACCGCGGCGAATCTCAGGCCAAGCACCCCCCAAACCCCACGCGCTCCGAGGCGGGCTCAGCCCGGGCGCTTCCGCGCACCCGGGCAGCACAATCGCGGGACCAGGCAGCCGTGAACAATTTGGCACCTGAGCACCAGCCCGCCCGCCAACTGGCCTAATCACCTTGAAGCTGAGGCTGGTTAGTTACCCCGGGAACCCAGCGGAGTCCGGCATATCCGGGCCAGCCGTCGGGCCAGAGCCGCTGCGGGCCCCGCTGGGTCGGAACGCCACGGGCCGATCCCAAAGAGGGCGCTCCAAAGGCTGAAGGGGTTGCAAAACAAGACAAGTGGAAGGTCTCAGGCCGCGGGCTCCCACGCACTCCACCCCACCCCGAGCCACCAGCTTGCTACCTCCAGGGGTCCCCTGGGACCGCCCGAAGGAAGTCGCCAGGGTGTGCGGAAAGCTCTTAGCGACTTGGTGTTTGCAAAGAAGCCAGCCCGTGGGAAGGGAGGCTGAGCCCTTTGGGTTCCCTCCCTGCTCCCCCGCCCACTCCAGCCTCTCCGGGCGCTGGGATTCCCCCGCAAAGCGGCCGAGAGGAGTCTCGAGGTGCAGGGGAGGCGGCCGGAGGCAGCAGAACTGCCTTCGCGCACCGGCCCCACTTGCACCAACTGCCCGGACCCGGCTCCCTGGCGGCGCGAGCCCTCCTCCGCCCGGTTTCTCACCTCGGCTGGTGTAATTGCAGGAGGCAGAG